TGTTTCCATTGCAGAGATATTCGATCCCTATGCAGATCCGTCGTTTTTATGTACGTTTCAATTTTTTGGCCGATACAGTCATAATAACAGAAAAATCGTAAAATTATTATTAAATTATCGTCTTAGCCGAATGACTGAAGCAAAAGTAGTATTTATTCATTAAAATCGTTGCATATTTTATTGTTCTTTGTTGTTCGTGCTAACTTATTGCTTTGCATTGTCACTCGTTTCTGGCTAGGTTCGACATTTTCCTCACGACCGATATGTAAATGTTGAATTGTTTTACAGTCGTCGTTTATCATTCAGCCTAACCTCATTGTTGTGTCTCATCGCTAATATTAATTTAGGTCGCTAAACGCTGAAGAGGTGAATGACTTGGTATCCAACCGCTGCTTGCTGCGACGGAGCGTCTACCGCGGTAGCCTCATTCGAATGTCATGCAAAAATGAGGTACGTAAGTGAAATAGCTTTCGATGTTAAATCTTGTAAGTGATAACAAAAATAACGGTGATGCACAGGAATATCGTCGTTTGCTTCCTTCTTCATTGAAGAGTATTTACCTTAGCATTCATAATAAGGACTTTCGATGATCCCGTCGCTTTCAGCGGTTTCAGTCCTCGACGCTTAGCCATTAGACATGGACGGTCTGCACTTCGTGAGGATACTGTAAGAGATGCTTAATGCTCTGATTTACCTAGCAAGCATTGCCAAGGGCTACCTACAGAAAAGGTTTTAATTTATCCTCCTAATAAAGACAGAAAGTGATGCATAAACAATAAAACAGGCGTCATTTCCTTCTTTTATCAAATTCAAGGTGTGATCATGATTTCACAGGAAAAAAAACTTGACGGTAACTTACGAAGGGTTGAGAAAACAGGTGCAGTACAACGGGAACACTATATAAGGGCAAATCCGACCTTGCAGTGAATCTTCCTAGTACTCCTATAATGCACAATATACACAGAGTCCCTGTTTTAGAGATAAATCATGTGTGATATTATCCATATAGTGCACAGCTGTATTAAAATATGCAGTATATAACATAATCTGGAATATTCTTCTCATGTTTATCATATAAATCATCTGTATACTGCCTACGTATAGCGCACTATGTCATAGTGTGCATGCATTTTGTAAATGTTGCATGCATTAACTATACCCTGGCCAACTAGTATCAGGCTGGTGATGCAGTAGGCCTTGGAATTTTCTGTGCCAGTTAAATGAACTGTGTACAATACAATGTATGATTATTATGTACACAAAGCATGTGCTATATGCCTTTTATACTTTTTCCGTGTAGTAAACAAGCATGTTACACCTTATGTGCGTTTTTTATGTAGTATACGCACAAAAGTATGTATTGTACTGTATGCGTAAAGTATGTATAGTATAATATCTAAACTTTATGTATGTGGTACATGGCATGTATTCGATGCATATAGTTCACTAGTTTTACACTAAAACTACAGTTCATATTCATTCCATATATGAATTAGATGCACTATACTACATGCGCTAAGTATGTATAGTGTCGTCTGTGAAGATGCATCTAGTACAGTATAAGTCGGGAGCTTACAGTCGGAAACAAATATACCCTCACTCAGAAGGAAAGAGCAAGAGTTAGTTGATGAGGCCATAAAGTGCCAACTCGACATTGTTGGACTCTCGTCAACGAAACGCCCAGGCTCTGGACTCCTGAATCTCAACGAATGAAAGCTATTCTACTCAGGCGTCGATATCACGATGCGCGCTCAGGCCGGTGTTGGAATTCTTGTAGAACTCAACCTCGTTGGTAAAATTATTGATTGGAAGCCGAAGGGTGGTAATCCTCCGACTGAAGCTACAACAGGCTAAAGTGTTGACCTTGGCACAGGTTTATGCGCCAAGTTAGGAGGGAGAATGTGATACCTTTCTTGAGGAAGTGCGGTGTGCTCTGTACGAAGTGCCGGCTCTGTACGAAATCCATCGTTCTAATGGACAATTTCAGTGCGAATGTCAGAGTAGATACTGGAAAGTGGAATGGCGTGATTGGAAGGAATGGCCTCGAATATCTCAACAATAACGGCATGAAGTTGCTGCGGTTTCGTGGAAACACCGAACTGTCTGTCAAGAACACCTTCGAGCATCGGAGAGCATCAGTATACCTGGTATACCTAGCATGAGGAAACTTGTGCACACAAGTCGATGATCGATTCGATTTCATAACAGACCCATGTGATTTAACGACGCTTTGTAGTCGCTGTTCACCTTAAGGGGACCCAACTGTTAACCGATCACTACCCGATGGCGCCTTCCGCAGTAAACAAGGAGGACAAAAAGACGGCCTGGCGCAGAAGAA